AATTTTATTTTCTTTTATCATTAATATTACAAATTTTAATTTGCTACCCCTTTAAATTTATTTTTGCACCCCTTGATTTTTTGTTTTTAAACGTCACTCACCAGGCCAACTTGTCCAAATTGTCAATTAACAATTCAACACTTCTTTTATTTTACTATTAATTTTTGTATATTAATTATTATCCTTCTACATTTTTCATTAGACTTCAACTCTCTTTTATTGCCTAGGCTGGAGCTGGTAATTTTTTGACCGAAAACCGAAAATCGAATCGAACCGAACCAATGAGAAAATAAACCGAACCGAACCGACTTATGTTTAACGGTAACAGGAAATCGGTTACAGAAATGTTATCAGTTCGGTATCGGTTCTGAACCCATTATGTCATGTCTTTTGCCCCCTCTCAACTAATTTTCTGGTTTCGCCCCTGGCTATATCAGTAGCAACGACGATGGTCATTGTTCGTAAATTATGCAGAGAAAATCATGTATCTTTCTTAGCACAAATCATACGTGTGTTTATAGTTATCAAGAAATTATTTCTTCAGATTCTTAGTTTCATGGGATTGCTCTGTATGTGCAGATTGATAGTTTTATTGAAAGAGCAAACCTACATCTATGATGTTAACACTCTAGAAGTGAAGAGCATCATCGATACAGTGCCAAACTTACAAGGTCAGTTTTAGAAAGTTGCAATGCTGTCAATTTTGATCTTCTCAATAAATTATGTACACTATTTACTTATACTATTGTTTGAAATTGAAATTGTCCTCTTAGACTTATTGTTTGATATCCTGAAAGTCAGACCATTAAAGTTGTAATTCTAATCAGCTGCAGTTTATAGAAAGTTGGATAACTAAAATGTCATTTGTCATACTGGATAGAAAAATTGCTTAACTGACGGAAGCTTGTTTGTCCTGAACCTGAACTTTTCATTAATGACAAGTGGCGTCTTGATTGAACTGTGATGCAAAGTATTTCGAAAGTAAAAGAAACAGAAAGGATGGAAAATAATAATGGAGGTAGACAAACCCCTTACTGGACTGGTCCATCCCTACTGAAGCAGGGGCTACTTTCTTTGGCTCCTTTTTCTTGATTTCATTGGCTGTGGATGTGCATCTATTTCTGCTTTGCTTGAAATAAGTTGCGATTTTGATATCCAGATAGTTTTTTACTTGACAGTGCTCATTTATCTTTTCAAATGTCAGGGCTCTGTGCATTTTCAGCAAATATGGATAACCCGTACTTGGCCCTTCCAGCTAGTACAGTAAAAGGGTCTGTATTGGTCTACAATGTCATGGATCTGCAGTCACACTGTGAGGTTTGTTACAAATACTCATTCATAGCCGACTGTTTTCCATGCTTGCAGCTAGCACCATCTTATTTATAAAATTTAATTACCGATTCACAGCCACTAATAATGAACAATCATATCTGATTTCATGCCCTGGACAAAATCTACTAATCCAGCCCTACTTTTCTGTCAGAACAATCTACTATTATTCCAGTTATTGATATGAGCGGACTGATTTCCTGGTCCCATACCCACCTTTTTCAGTTTCAGTCCTATATGGAAAGGGAGCATGATTTGGTTCTATGATTTTTTATATATATTTTCAAAAAGGGTAGTTCCTAGCACTGGAGAAAGAAAAAGACCAATTATATCAAAATACCATTGTTCTATCATAGAGTAGAAATTTCGGTTAAATTTTTCTTGTCATGGACTCAGCACCGAGGTTGCTTTTTCCTTCTTCCTATCAGCAAAGTACTTTAATCAAAAGGCGAATTTATTCAAGTATGAGTGACATTACCTCAGTTCCTTAGGGCGTGCTTGGATACAAGTATATCCGTTCAAAACGATTTTATTTGGTTAACCAGAGTTAATTTTGAAAAATGTGGTATAGTGGAGTTGGGTTAAACTTGAGTTAGAGTATGAATATGAATTGATTTATTTTGTAAACAAACACATCCCTTGTTCTCCGATTAACTGAAAATAACCTAAACGTGCAGATAGATGCTCATCGTTCTCCATTGGCTGCCATGACTTTCTCCCCAAATGGGATGTATATAGCGACAGCATCTGAACAGGGAACCATAATCAGAGTTCATTTAATTTCGGAACCAACGAAGGTGAGGCTTGAAAAAGTCATGTCTCTTCATGTGAAACATGATTGCTATCTTAATGCTTTTTTTTCCCCTACAATGAAAGAATGAGCGAGTATGCATTTTATAAATTTCATTTACGAAACATCAATAATGTGTTTTATGTTACTGTGAGCCTTGTAGCTGTAGTGGCATCACTTACCCTTTACAAGGGTGATAAAAGGGGTTCAAATTTCAAAGCCTTGGACCTTTTGTTTTACAACAACTGATGCCATTAAAAAAATATCTTTATTTTTTAGTTGGTTTCTTCCATTTAATTTTGCTTTCTGATTTTGATCATTCAGGTTCTTGATCATGGAGATATCTTTTAATACCCAATTGACAAGTTTGATTAAGCTTAGATTTTGATTTCACATTCTCTCCTACTCGGAATTTATCTGAGTTTTTGATATAACTAAAGGACATTTGCACCTATTGGATAAACCTTTTTTTTTGGCTTAAATGAGAGCTCAGTTTTCATATGTTTATCAGTCATACAGTTTCCGTAGGGGTTCCTATCCATCAACAATCTTTTCCTTGTCGTTTGGGCCATCAGATAATCTTCCAGATATACTTCTTGCTGCTAGCTCTTCAGGTTCTGTCCATATTTTCTCCCTGAGATTTGATCTGATTGAGAGGTAACTACCTATATTTATTATTCCTGTTTGATTGTACAAACGCGTGTCACCCTTTTGATATGCCCGTTATTTGGCTTCAATATTATTGCCGAAATGTGTAAATGCTTTCTTTCTATATATTGAAATCAGCTCAGGTGGCATCAGATACATGTTAACTCTCTCTTGGGACCAAATGTTCCCTGTTATGTCTTTACTTGGTGCAGATTATTTTTTTTTTTCCTGCTTGGACCATTTACTTCATTTTCGCTATGCTTCGCTTGCTTGAAAAAAATCTGTCAGATATGCTTACATGTCCTTACTCTGGTCGATTTTCTTAATGTTTAGGGGCAGAAAGTCAAATAGTTTCCTTGGGTCAATAATGCCTGGTTCAGTAAGTGATGTGTTGGATCCAGCTCACCATCTAGTATTTCATCATGCATCTGCAGTCGGCATTCGAAGGTTATTGATTTACGACACATGCATGATTATCCAATTGCATGTTCGTTACTGATTAGACTGGGATGAAAAATTTTCAGAATAAAGTGCACTAACATTTGCTTGGGACAATTCGAAATTAGTTTCACAATAACTCA